GTTATTCATAACACAACTTTAAATGTTGAAATTACAAGAACTGATAATATAATATCTGAGTATATCATCGATGTTTTTAATTTATTATTTTAATTTTGAATTTCTCTGCTTTAGAGGAATTATTATTTCACCAATTCGACGTTATTCTAATATAACTCTGATAATTGTATTACTAATATTTCTGATCGTTGGTGTTATCATTTTTTCGATTTATTATGCTAAACATGGTAAGAATATAATTTTACAGTTGATATTCATTGCAAAACTTGAAATGAAATACAGTAAACTAAAACGTAGTTTAAAAGCTATTTTGATATATAGATGAATGTGATAAACGAAAATATATGTAACTTTTTCAACAAATATCTTGATTCGAAAATGACCAAAGATATTTGATGAAATAATTCTTAAATGTGTTTTTTCAATAGTTTTGGCAACGGATCCAACAATGAATAATAGTTCGAATACAACAACAAGTACGACGATATTAACATCTTCGACTACACCAGGTTAGTAATTGACTTAAAATCACAGTTGGATAGTAATCGGACAGAATGTCGTGAGCATGTAGTTGCAAAAAAATTGAAGTATGAACAAAATATCATGTGAATAAAATGTTGCATTACTAAGATGATGTAGTATTTCAACGGTAGATGTGAGTGCGATGTTCATTTCTCACTCATGTCCATACTGTACTCTTGAAATACCATGCCCTCTAATTATTGCATTATTTTGTCCTGCGACATTCTCTCTTAGAGGCGTGGTTTAGCAACATGTCTCTCGACAAATTTAAAAGGAAGCATATTTTTTGTTAATATAAAAATAATATGTAAATTTGATGCATAAATATCTTTCGTATCATGTAAAATAACAGAACAGGATAGAAATTGCTTTTATTTGTCAACCTGTCCTCTGATTATCTGTGTATCACACATAATGATTTATTTTATATAAAACTTAATGTTCAAGTTAATTTCTATGGGATAGTATTTGATTAGATTTATTTCTCTTAGAACCATTTTGTCAATTGGAATTTGAATTGATATCAGTCAATATGTCTTGTGATGAAAATTATTTATACAACGTTTTCAGCGTTGTTGCAGATATTAATAATGATAATCAAGTTGATCTGATATACATTTGTAACTTTTATTCCACTCAGAAGATGACTTTATTATTGGGCAATCGTAATGGAACATTTCAAAAACCAATTATATTCTCATTTGAAAGTTTCAATGGGTTACAACATGTTCTTGTTGCTGATTTTAACAATGACAATCGATCTGATTTAATTTTGGTACATATGAGTAGAAAGAATGTTGTTTTTACTATTTTACTTAGAGATGGTAATGAAACATTTCAAATACAAAACATGTTGTCTCGGGTAATGCCTGAAAGGCCAGTACAATTTAGTTTGATTGATCTCAATAATGATAAGAATGTAGATATCGTTATGATTCTTCAATTTGATTGTAATGTTTATGTGATGTTCGGAAATGGAAATACAAATTTTTCGTCAGAAATTATCTTATCTGTAGGGGTAAAGTGTAGTCTTAATGAATTTGTTGTTGGTGATGTTAATAGTGATAGCTATTTCGATATTGTTGTAAATGATTATGAATCTTTACATATTTATGTATTTTTTGGACAACCTAATGGAACATTTCAATCACCGAAATGGTTTTTTACTGCAATTGATGCTCTAAGATCTGAAATAGTTATTGGTGATTTTGATAACGATGATCAATCTGATATTGGGTTTATTTACGAGAATTGGAAGGATCTTGTTTGTATGATATATCAATATAACAATAATAGTTTTAGTGTTAATGAGAAAGTGAAGACTATTATAGAACCTGGTCAAAACTTGCATTCAGTTGTTGTAGGTGATATTAACGGTGATAATCATGTGGATATTATTATTAATTTGACTTACCCATGTAGAATCTATGCATTACTTGGATATGGAAATGGAAAGTTCTCTATACAAACCATTCATTTAGGTGAATTTCAAGATGGTGAAATTTGGTTTAGTCTTACTAATTTCAATAATGACAATTATCAAGATATAATTAGCACGAACGACGACACTGAACTCATAAATATTTTCTTAAACAAGCGTCAATGTTCAGTAAACTAATAAAATTGAACAATCTCTTGGATATTTCATATTTAGAAACTTAAATAAAACTCTAATCAATCAAGAAATTTTTTTTAATGTATCTTTACATCGATATGTCTCTTTTTTCTTTTCTTCTTGCTAAAGACTTGTTTTTACATCGCTAAACTTTGTATTTGCTTCTGCTTCAAGAATCTTGCTAAAAACCTAATATTCAAATTTTATTTCATACGAATCATTTTTGCTTCTTAAGTTATTTATTTAAAATCGTTTAATACATAATATTTAATTAAAATTCCTTCAATTATCATTTGACAAATATGTTCTTGATTTTGATCAGATGTCAAATTTATATTTTCATTTAAAGGATTTTGTAAATGCTGAGTTGAAAATTTTTTATCCAGATGAATTGATGCATTTGGAATTGATTTTAAATAAAAATAATTTAATTGTTTTGGAAATATATTTATCCATTGATATTTATTAATATTAAGTGATTTTGATTGATTACCTGTATACATATATATTTGAATTATTAATTTTGTTAAATAAAAGCAGCATTTTATAAGAAAATTATTTAATTCATCTGTTGTACATTCATAAGATATGTTAAATAATATTGATTTGATATGACTAACGTTTGTTGACAGGATTCTCTTATTGAAACATCAATTGATCTAACTTTTACTGTTCGATTAAGAATTTGCGAAAGATAAGAAAATTTTTTTACATGATTTTATTTCATTGTAACGTAAATTCGATATTGCTATTGAACGAAGTGATAAAAACTGATTCGTTTTTAATGAATTAAATAAATCTAATTGAGAATTTAATGTTATTTTTAATGAACGAATAAATTTTGGAATATTTTCATCTATTTCAAGATTAATATTATGTGGATAGTTTCCAATTATTTGTTTCAAACGATTATTTAAATTAGAAAATGATTTGATTATATCATTATATGTTAAATAATCAAATATTTCATAATAAATTTCATTTGTTAAATCATCAAATAATATTTGATTTTTATTGAGACGTTTTCGTTTTTTTGATAAACATGATAATTTTAATGCCATTCTCAGATTTTTAATGATGAAAAGTTATTTTATTAACATTCTTGAGGGCATGGGGTGTGCGAGAAGAAGAGCCCTCAACACCCACATCCTCCCAAACTCTCATGTTATTGAAGAATTTGTTCGACTAAAAGAAAATAAATCAGATGTATTAGATGGTACGTATATTTTGTATAAGTAATTAGATATTTAATCTATAATGTTGATTTTTACAATTGTATAAGTGCCAGAATTGAGAATATCTAATACATGTGCATTGAGCACAATTGTTTTTTATAATAAGATCTTTTATCTGTCAATTTCATAATTAATTTGACTCACTGTTCAACTAATCGTTATGTACTTTAATAGACTTTATCAAATCTTATAATATGATATGAAAATAATGAAAGAAAAAAAAGTTGATATAATAAATATTTTCATAAACATTCTATTACTTTTTCGATGAAAATTTAACAGATATAATCGGAAATACTATAGCTTGAGTGAAAATTGAATTGGCTTTTATAAAATATTTCTTTCAATCTTATTTTACCACTATCAAGAAACTTCTTTCAAAAATAGTTTACTTAAGACATTCTTAAACTAGTATCTAAAAACTAAGAAGTTATTTTATAGTTTTCTATTAACAAATTCAGGGTTCTGGATTTTATCCATCATCGCAATCACAATTATCGAATGATCTTCTTGAAAATGTTCAAGTACATAAAATG